TCAAATGAAATGGAAAAAAATGCTCATTGATGACAGTAAGAAGTATTTTTGAGCTAGTTATATTTTTGTATGCGACATGCTATATAGTGTACGGTTTTTAAAATTTTATATATTAATCTTGCATATTTCAGAGTTTCTTTTATTTTGAAACTATAAAAATATATTTTTGTTCAACTTTTAGTGACTTTTAGGAATATTGTAATTGACCAATAGCTCTAATAAAAAAATTATATAAAACTTTGTTTGATATAATTTTGTAGATTTCCTTTTAATACTAAAATATATTTTACTAAACATCATTCTAAAATGGCCCTCGAACTTTCGGTCTCACAGACCGTATTTGACGCGGGTATAGGAAGCTTAGATAATTATCCAGGTATATTTATCGTGATAATATTATCATGATGATTGTGACTTCGAAGCCTAGTAAGAAGTTTTATACTCATTTTAAATTGCACTGAGCACGGGTCTCTTGTAAGGTGACATTTTAATAATCCTTCGTTTCCCACAAAGTTTTCCTTAACAGCCTCAACCTCAAATGGCTTTGATTGATTCCGCATAACAGTGAGTGTTGAATCGATCACTCTGGAAAAAATATATAGTAGAATTTAGGATACACAATGATTACTATATATACGGTGTGAAAATACGATTCTTAAAAAAAACACAAACTTAAGCTCGAATTTTTTTTTGAAAACCGCTGTATTCAATAGGAACTAAATAGAACACGTATAGTATGCGATTTACATTTTTCATATTGCTTTAATTTTGATTATAAGAAAATAAATTCTGAAATAAAGCCAGCATCCCTGCCGTTCGACCCAAGTAAAATAAACCGTATTAGTACAGGAAAAATTAAAATCGAGCTGATGTATTATCGGCTCGTAACTATAAGCAAGAAAGGAGAAATTTTCTATACATCTTTCACTAGGCGTCTTGTAGAGTTCTTAACATGTTAAATCTACGAGAAACTTTCAAAAGGATATAAATAACTTTATTTAAAGTGCTCTTAATACTCCCTTAGAAATAATCTGTTTATCATCGTACCTCCTTACGACAAAATTTCATGTATGTTGGCGTTAACTGTGACGTCAAAATGTACACGATAATGACGTCATAAAGTTTAATGCCATGTTCGCGTGTTGCTAACGGGACTATGGTATGAGTCCATAATGTTTGAGTTTGTCATATTCTATTAATAAGGTATGTGCTTCTGTACGTTAAGGGCAATTTCAAAAGTCCGGTCACTGTTAAGAATGGCTGCACCAAGTGGACAATGTAATGAAAGCATGATAAGTCACTTTTCGCGGTTAATATGAGTAATGTTCACTCTGTCTTGGTCGGTTAGGTTAGGCTCGCGAAAAGTAGGGAATTATTCATACTGCCCGGTGAGAGTGTTAACTACATGCCATCTTAAGTCTCAATTTATCAAATGTTCACGGATAGTCGGACATTATTGACACGGAAAGGCCAATGTAATAAATTTATCACCGCGATACCGGGGTTTCCTTGTGCGGCTGTGAGTGTGTGCGTGATTATTATTATTATGTTTTTTATTTTTTTCAGTCTTTTGGCAAGTTTGAACCACATTTACGGATCGAAATCAAGTAAACGCAATATGGCGTTTATCTATGTGGAAGGTGTGTAATAAGAGCCTACTTCGTCCTCTTCCATCTGCATGAACTTTCTTACAATGCGGCATGTATTTAAAATTACAGCCTTTTTGCAAGGTGGTAATGTAGAGGCTTTCTTTACAACCTAACAATTTAAGTATGAATTTTACATAATATAAAAATAATATAAACAATGTTTCATTATTCATTTTTTCGTACATGAAAAAACCATTCAAATATAAAATTGTTATGTAGTAATATTGTAGAAAAACAACTGAATGTGGGTTACACCATTTTTGTGCTGAAATCCGCCAAACAAAACGTCCGCGGGAAAAACATTCCATCAGATTCGAGACGCGATAAAGTGTTTACTTTGTAAGCAATTTCTTAAGTACAATGTTGAGGATCTACAATAATTTCTACAGAGCTTGATCAAGTGTTCCTAACGATCATAATCGAGATCTTTCGAAAGAATATGGTGATAGGGCACTTATATACACGCTTTTGTAGTTATCAGGGCCCATTGGTCCATATAACAGAATTCCGTAAGAAATTTTTTGTCCGACTTAGTTCGGTAGCAATAGAGCTCCGCGTCAAAGAGTTCGTCCAGGGTAGTACTGCCACCTTACCGTTCCGGAATTGAAGGGTAAGGGTGTTGGTGAAATTACAAGCACATGAGATTTTTTAACTTACATATGTCTCAGGGTCTGTGGCAGTGCCCTTTGAGCGACACTGCAACTGGTATGGACAGGCGTGACCCTTACCACTGGGCGCACGACTTGATCGTCCCGTCACTTCGCTTTTTAAAAAGTATTGTAGATATAGAACGGAAAATTATGCAGAATTTGCTGAGTACTTTCTACATCGGCTTACTTCCTTCAAATATCCACTATTAGATACCACTACTTTATCTACTATTTTGCGAGTTATGTGTAGAAGTGGAAGATACTCGTACATATATGCATATCACCTGTTACTGGAAGGTGTCCGGTAGGAGAGGGCGGCGTTGATGAGAGACCTGCAGATCAACCTCCCTAGACGCTATAAATTGTATACTGAGGAATCCCCACACGAAACAGGCCAAAAGACTTTTACTATTTGTTGAATCGGCTCTCCAGCATGACGGCCCTAACCTATAGTTTAAGACATGTGCCGAAGCTATAGTTTAGAATACCATGGAACTGGCATATTCATTGTACAACAGTTCCTAAGTAAAAGATACCTAATGAAAAGTTAACCTTTTAACGAACATACATCATAAGAAGTATCTATACCGTCAGCAAAAATATCAACATTATGTATACATTTCGCAAATGTTCAATAATAATTTATAATAATCGGAAAGACTGATTCGGCGAAATATCGTGTTATTACAAAACATACAATCCTTATAAACATGGATAACAAAGAGAAAGCAAATAATATTAATTACAAGCTTTATTTGTTCATTTCCCAGAAAGACTGGAAATTCTCTTAAGGATTTCTTAGCGAACGTGTATTATTGTAACGAAACTAGAACAGATAGATAGACTAAATATACATGCATTTTGAGTAATAGAGCTTCTTGTTAAAGAGTTCGTCCAGGGAAGTACTGTCACCAATTTCTGCCGTCAAGCAGTAATCGTTCGTTACTGCGTTCCGGTTTTAAAGGATGCTGGTGAAATTCTGTAATTTCCTTAAGAGATTTTCCAGTCTTTCTGGGAAATGAACAAATAAAACTTGTAATTAATATTATTTGCTTTCTTTTTCTATTTGTACCTGTGTACATAGGACTTGTCAACTTATGTCTCAAAGTGACGGGCGCAATGGCAGTGCGCCTCAGATCTTTGCGTTATGGACAGGCGTGTCGCTTACCACAGCCACACGACTTGCTCATCCCAGGTTTCAGGAATTTATTGTAAAGTTGAAGGTAAAGAAAAGGCTGTAACAAGACGAGAAAAGGTATATAAAAACAGGTGCAACAGTATAAAACACTTCCTTGCTACGGATTAACGTAAACAGTTCAGACACTTACCCCAAAAGGGTCGAGTTATACGGTATTACAGATTGGTATTAAAATTGGCACATGATTAGGTTATGGTTATTACAGATTGGTATTAAAACTGGTAAAAGAATCAAAATTAGACGCAAATGAAATTAGAGCAATACTGTTTGCTGCCGCGATCGAGCAGAGAGTGGCGATGGAACGAAACAAAAACAGAATGACGAGGAAAAGGAATTAAAGAACGATTTAAAATTTAAAAACAAGTGACCAGAAACCGGAGAAAATGCGACAAAAAGGTGGGATGACGATGTAAGGAGGTGACATCGTCACATAATGAATTATAATCAATAATATTGTGATTGATTTAATTAAAAATTCGCCAAACGAGCTACAAATTCACTAAACTGGAATAATTTTTTTTCTATGCAGTTTGACACTACAAATCAAGGAGAAAAAAATTAAGAGAATTTTCTCTTATTTTTTTTACATTCTTAGTTTGGATTGTAATCCACACACATGTATGTGTAATCAATACTTAAAATGTATGGAACACAAATAATTTAAAACACAATACGCTTTTCTATTCAAAGTGAATGTCACTACTTTAAGGATATTCGCGATATATGTTGCAATGTTCATCACATGGTATAATGACAAACTGTGTAAACACGTACACTGATACTATACAAAATCTCTACGTTTCAAGAAGGTCAAATTGTTTCGGTTGTTGTTACGTAATATCATTTGATGTTACCTAGTGAGGTGAAACAATTCGACGTTATGATTTTAAACACGTGAATATGGAAAACTAACCATTTTAAATGAAAATATTTAGTTATATGAAAAAGTACCTACTATTTCTAAATCGCGGCAATATAAGCGTAACAAAGAAAAGGTACGAATTTACTTCTCAAAAAATAATGGCGGTGAAATAATAATTGCCAGGTCAACATTTTTATAAGCCACGAAGGAAGAATTTCTCAGGTTTAGCAAACAAAAGCAACCTACACGAAAATCCGTATAAAAAGAATTCGAAAAAGAATCCCCGTACTAACGTTCATCTCAGAACAAAGGTTTTATCTCTTGCTAATTATACGGACACGCTCAAAGTGCTAAGGGTTAACAGAAAAACAAAATGCCCTGCAATTCAGTTTCATTGTTGATGGAAAAATGCAATTAAAACGGAATGACGTATAAAAATACATCCGAAAGGCTGCGAAACGAACAATGGAGAGAAGTATCTCTAATGTTTATGCTTCATATTACAATAGCTCCCATACTTGTACCTCCATAAGCTCACATTATGAACCTTAGTTTATGAACAAAATTTTCTGAATTCTCATACCAACTGCGCAGTTTTCCCCACCCTCGACCGACTGTAACCGAGTGATTTATTGTTTCAGATGATGTAGCCGAGCATCGGCGCACAACCAGTAGAAAACTTCATCCAAATTCAGTGAATAATAACAGCGCTCCCCTATTTACGTCTCGCCGCGCGTGTGTGCCAATGCAAAAGTTTAAAATGCGCGGGTGTGATTGGTTAGTGCGACGCATTGATTGGTGACTAGTGATGTGCTGTGTCGATAGTGGTTATCGATAGTCGTCAACATGGCGACGATGGATTTGACGAATGAGGTGGTTCGGTTACGAGCCGAACTTGAGAAGGTGTCCAATGAGAGGGACATGCTTCTTTGCGAGCTTTCGTCGTTGAGACGAGAATTGGAGCTCAGCGAGTTAAAACACCTGCAGGATGACAGGTGAGTGTTTTTTCCTTTAGGAATTCCATGCATCATTGCTGACATATGTTTCATGTTCATATAGCAACCGTTTCCGCGCAAACAAAGGGCGTGCCTACGTCTTGCGGGTCCTTTCAAAGGCTCGACAGTTCGTCACAAACCTCTCATACCTACGCTGTAGGTTGGCTCAAGACACGAGCTTTACATATTTCCGATTCGGCTGTGAAACATAATAAACGTTTCACAGTAGAATCAGATTGTTATTTATTATTGTTTATTGTTAAAATGTAAACATAGGTATTTTTTAAATTGAGAGTGGAAACATGATATCTATAAACACAAAAACAATTACCTAAAGCCATGATTAATTCAGAATACGTGGTGTTTAAAAACCAATTGTGTCTGACGCCATGTTTTAAAATTCTCATCGTCTTTACCATGGGAGATGTCAAATCAGTTGTGTTTTTTAATATAATTGAATTTATAACATTAGTAATTTTATAATATTAAAATTGTTGACATCGTGAACTTAGACCTTTGTCGATAATATTTTTTCTTCTCCCGCTACAGCCTATGCATGACGTCACAAACAGCCATCGTTATTACTAGCATTGTTCGCGGCGATGTTTCCGACGTGAGCGACGTCAGAAGGTCCTTCTTCTTTGAATAGACCCTTTTATCGCGTACATGTCAGCAGTCTTAACATACAAGCCCGTGAGGGAAAAGGGGAAGATTGAGAAATTGGGGAAATTGAGTATAATTTCCTGAATTTCTTTAACGTCATGGTTTATTAATGTTGACGGCATTTTATCGGATATTGATCAATGTGAATGACCAGTTGATAGTGATGGTTTAGAGAAAAATTCGCCGGTGTTTTATAGAAAGGCCGTGAGCCAATTTCGGAGATTTTTCAGATAGCATGTTTTAGGTTTTAACGACTGTTTTAAAACTCAGTTTCCGTTTTAATTAAATTTAAGTTCTAAAATTGGATTTTTGAAACAAGATAATAGTAATTTTTTAAACAGTCGTTAAAACCTAAAACATGCTCTCCTAATAAATCCACAACATGTCGCTTTGCCGTTTCTATAAAGCACCGACAAGTTTTTATAATAATAAATTTATTATCTCCATAAATTTTGGTTATGATTATTTTACACAAAATCAGATTTTGTTTACTAAATTGACAAGCCTATGGAGACTGGAATCTGAACTCAAGCGTATTGTGGCTTCTAACCTTCTAGGCTCACCCAAACACCAAAATAAAGAATCTTTATGTCGGTACTATAATAGAGTGCGTCTTAACTTGGAGATAAATTCTTCATTGTTTGACTTCATGTTTACTATTACCACAAATGTAATTGTTAAGTCTTTGTTGTTATTTTTGTTACCACTTTTTATGTATAACGTTATTGTACATATGTAATGCGGGTGCCGGATACTTGTGAAATACAGTGAAAGTTTGTGCACTCTATTTTCGCGATAAAACATTGCCGTGTTTTTTTAATATTTAAAAAAAATACTAGCTATGACTGTCGCGGTTAACATATTCTACGTATTAATTCAGGTTATAAATTACTCACCGAATTTTATCAACATTTGTTAAGCTATTTTCAGTGCTAGTGAATTACACAAATCCGTCATAATATCGGCTTAACACTTGCGTCGTTAAGTGACCTGTATTTAAATATAAATGTGAACACATTTAATTATATACAGTTTTGTTCCATAACAAACACTAAAAGACGACATTAAAATGCCTTACTTTCTCAAACTCATCGTCTTATAAAGAGTGATTATTCAGGAAATGGCAAAACTTTCTATTTGTTTTAAATTTCTTATCAAAGGTGTTAATTGGGATGCATTACTTTAAGTATAAGTAAAAGCCAATGTGTGAATGTGATGTGAAATCAGCCTGCAAAATTTTTGTACAATCCATTTTTTACTTTTCAGTAACTTTGTGCTTTAAGGTACGAGTTTGAGAAAGTAATCGATGATTAGCAATATTTGTAAATTTTGTCACCGATTTTTAGCTGCACTCAAAATAATGGATATAATAAAGCCAGCTCTTGGTATAATGAAACTACATGTGATCATACGTCAAAAGTACTTTTATCACATGAAAGTCATAAAAAAATACCCACTACACGAAGCAAACACTACATTAAGCGTAAAAAAGTTGTCATTTTGCAGATGTGGCCTTATTACAAAAAAATGGTTCAGATTCTCTATGTAACATTTTGGTGTGGATATTATGCGCACGGGTGGGGTATTATGGCTACACTATCGATTTTGGTGAACATCATTAATCATAGACCGGAGAGCGGGTAAATATTGTTTATGGTTTTAGAACGTACTTTGGAGTTGTATATTAATGATAAGTTATGACAAAGGATAATTTAAGTACTTCAAGGAACGTTATTCCATAAATCTGTTCCGAAATTGAAGTGAACCATTTCCTGTACCGTTCAGAGGGAAAAGTTCCAACGAGGATACCAACTGTCACAGTATATAACATCGACTTTTACTGTTCTTTTGTAAGATATATACTGATAGACGCGGTTTTCCTCCTTGGTCATGAATTGACAGTGGTGAAGTCGTGAAGGGTCGCGTAAAATATTTGTATGCGAAATTGTAGTTGACCGGATTTATCCGGTCTCGTTCGATTTAAAAAAATCACATAGTTCTGCAAAATATCAATGTTACGTAATGTAGATTGTTATTAGAGATGTTTCTGTGAAAATTTTTCTCCCGTGTTCTACTATAACTAGAAACTACTAGACTATAACCCAATAATGCAACACACTCATAGTCCCGCACTAGGGAAAACCTGTGTCGCGGACGCCATGGATCGCAGATAGACAACCATAAATTACACCCAAACTCACGAGAAAAATAAATGTAGGCCATACACACATTTCTCCCGGCCTGGGAAACGAATCCAGGATCTCTGCGTGGCAGTCCAGTATGGTAACCGTTCGGCCACAGAGGCAGTTAATCTGAGCTTATTTTACAGTAAGATATATACAGTATATTAATAATAATAATAATAATAATAATAATAACTTTATTTAATAGCCATTACAGAGAGAATAGTTACAGCTAGTGTAATGAAATTTAGTACGTACTTAATTACTAGATGATTGATTGATATTTTATTTCTAAAAGGCGTATATTATTTAAATATCGTGCAATATATTTGTACCTCACACGCTTCGAAACCTACGCGATCTAAGCAACCACTTATACTCTTTTGGTCTAAAGACTAGCTTAAACTTTTCAATAGGTGTAATGTATTTCTCGTGTTAACCTGGAAACTCTTACATACATACAAATAATTTACGCCCGTTTCCTATCGAAGTAAGCAGTGACAAGAGCATTCTACTTGCTACAACAAGCATCAGTGCTTTCGAACATGCTAACCGGAGGTTCTCTTGATTTAACCTTTCTTTAGGACGTTCTCGATTTAGTCATTGTAAGTTCGCCTTAGTAAGCCCTTACCAACTAAGCTCACTCTCGCCTTGTAAATAAAAACTTAGAAACTCCTAATAAGGCATTTTAATAATAAAACCTAATTACATTTTATGATAAAGAATTAAAGAGAAATTTTATGGGAAGTGGAAAACTAAGACGGAAGAACAATAAAGTTTATTGATAAATCGCACCGCGGGGCAAGGGTCTCCTCCACATGTTTTCTAAGTGTTATAAATCTCTTCGATGTGTTATAATTATTAATACAAAGAGTGAACACTCAGAAAATATTCCTTCGATCCGGCCTGATTCGAACCGACGTCTTTTAGTATACCGTGTCAGACGATAACTAACTACTAAGCCACGGAACGAACCTGCGGATCTCACGAATTTTTCTATGTGTCTATAGTCGTGTCTTAGTATTTGGTTTTTCAGCGACTTTTTAGCCTTCGGTTTGATTTCATTCACCGTTAGCTATTATACCTCTCGTATTAACGAAAAACTATGAAAAATCTTTTTATAGAAAACCAGCGTATGCTCTGATATTCCTAACTCTTGTCTTCTAACTTATTTATATTTACTTGTAGCTCTGTATGTATGTATACATGTATCACACGTGTATTGTAAATGTGTAGTGTGGCATAAAGCAGAGGATACACAGAGCATGTACCATTTCCTTATGTCTCAGCCGACGCTGAAACAGGAACGACTGAAAATCAGCGTCTGTCTCGCCATAGATAGACCTATTGCTGAGTCGTATCCTTTTCTTCTTTTGCGCCACTATACACACTTACTATTTTAAAATCAGGCAGCCATTTGTTGTTTTAGTTTTAAGTATTAGATTTAAGTGCGTATAGTGACTCAATTTAATTAATAAACGTTTTTCTTTCATTCTTCCTTTCTTTCTTTCTTTCTAAATCGCAAATATCTGAGGGACTGCCACTGCACTGGGCCCGTCACTCTGAGACATAAGCTGATAAGTTCCATGTGCCATGTGTAATTTCACCAGCGCCATGTGCACTCAATAAATTAATTAGTAAGGAAGACAGTTAGTTGTTAAGACAGCTTAGACCTTACTTAAGAGTACGTCTTGGTATCAACTTGACAGCTCGTTGGTGTCTGGCTATAGAATGATATCTCCCCTTCTGTAAAATTACGTTTTTGCTCTTAGTCGATTCTGACGCTTTTCTGTCGATGTACATTATATATGTATGACCCAAAATTTCTCCGAGATCGAGAGTTTTGGCCTATGTCTTACCTTTAGGGAAATCACTTACACTTAAACTGTTTTTGTGGTACCATATGTACAGTACAGCTGCTGAGTTGGGAGAACTCTTGTCTCTCAGGTAGGAAGCAATAAATCGGTTGGACATATGATTACGTTGATCATAAGTATGACCATTAGACCATGCGCAAATTATCGTTTTATTACTGGATTGTGATGACTTGCTCACGTGCAAATGAATCTACTTAGGCGATCATCTGTTATAACTTTCCAACTTTTAGAAACTTGAAAGATATTTTCAAATTAAATCGTCGTAAACCCGTTGTTA